CTGTCTAGGTTACTAACCTAAATCAAGATCCAGATCCAGAATTTTTTAAAATAGGAATCTCTACTAGGGAATAATCTACTAGGAATAATTTTAATAATTTTAAATCTCTACTAGGGAATAATTTTATAACAAAGTAAAAGTTATATATTAAAGGTAGGTTCTGGGGTGGCTGTGGTGACTGTGATACATCTTCGAAATGTTATCAATGCAAAGGCACATATTGTAATAAAGTAGATAAATTCGAAAACGGAGTTTATTGTAATGTGGCAAATGGAGACGGAAATATAGAAGTTGGCAACAGAGCAAGTGATACAGAATATTGTTATATACGTCTTAATGAAAGAGGTAAAATAAATGAAAATGTTACTATAGGATTGTTAGGAACTTTATTTTACTATGATGGTAGGCAACTTTAAGGGTCTTACAATATACGTGAAAGTGCCTTAAGTATACACATTTGTGTAGGTATCGAAGGAGGTGTCAATTCCTTAAGGGTTATTAAAAATTAAGCCAGAGTCTATGTAAATTAAAGCATGAATGTACGAGGGATACCTTACCTCAAATTAATTCTACGACATCTGAAGATTAAAATAGAATGTTTTTGCTTGTTTGTTAGCTATTACAATTAGAGACCGGACCGATACGATATATCGAAAAAAATATCGATATATCGATGTTGATATTATCGATAAACGATAGATTTCTAGCTTTTTAACCACCGGGGGCGAAAATTTTGAGAATTTTGTAAGGTCTCAGGAGAAAAAATTCAATAGTCAGAACCGCAAGAAAAAAATTTTATTGAAGTTTATTGGTCATGAAGCCAGAACTCTTAATTTTATGCGCCGCGGGCGAAAATTTTGCAAAATTTCTTGCCTAGATTAAATTTTTTAATGCTTTTTCGAGCATAAATATTAAACAAAAAATAAATTTAAAAATCTAAAATGAAATCAAAGTTTAAAACACTTAATTATTAAAAAGAAAAATATTTCACGCCTCATTTCCAGCCCTGGACTCGAACCCACCCCTATGCAAATATCGAGCCAGTCGCCCTACCCATTCGACCACCGATCAACAAATGAAAAACGAAAAAATTATATGTAAATATTTTTTTCCCTTTCCTTCCTTCTCTTTCTATAATTTTTAAAATTTATTTTAAAAAATCGTGTAAGGCAAAGTTTTCGGTTAGAAATTTTTTCCAATTTCGGGTCACGGGTTTCGGGTTGAAAAATTTTCTTTTCGGGTTTCGGGTACAAAAAAAAGGCCGGGTTTCGGGCGGCAACCCTGATACCGATATTATCGATCGATCACTCAAGTCCGGTCTCTAATTACAATTGCGGATATATAGATTTAGATAAAAATTATGATATACTGCTAAATTCACGGAATGTCTTTTTTATTACTAAAAATTTTCACAGGTAAAGAAATTAGTGGTGCAGGTAAATGTCCCGAAGGAGACTTTATATGCTATGAATGCAAAGGAGCACGTTGCAATACGTATGATAATTACAAGAAAGCTCTCTTCTGCTATGTTAGTGATGGAAAAGCGACACGAGCTAGAGCAATTGGATGGAACAGTGACAAATGTTATACGGCTTCTACCGTTGAAGGTGTACGATTTATAAGGCACTTCTAAGGATTGAATTTTATGTGTCGTAGAAAAGTCCGCGGGCTAATTTTGGTGTCGTTCGACTTTAGGGGTGATTTTCAGAGTCAAAAATTCGAAAAAGCAAATAATACCTCATTCGAAAGAGGTATCTACGGTCGCTGGGTTATGGGTCAGCTGGGTTATGGTATATTTTTTAAAATAACAACCTAAATGTACATTACTTGCATATTTAGTGTTCTTATCAGAAAATTTAAAAGATTCTAGACTCAGAATTGACTCCATGACCAAGACTCCACTCCATGACCAATATCATTACTTATAACTCGATAGTAAATATCCCAGATTCTAATTAAGTTATTTTAAGAGGGCAGTACTGAAGAGATACTTCAAAAGCATACGAAACAAGGTTTTGGAGATTGCCCTAACGTAGGACATTGCTGGACTTGTGAAGGAAATTTATGCAATTTACCAGAATTTTCTAGTAGTAACTTTTATGGATGTCGTACATTCAATCACAAATATTTTATATGCTCTCCTGGAACAAAAAAATGTTATTATGGAGAAAATGTAAGCAGAATTTAATTAACAAAACTTTTTTTAAGAAACAAAAAATTGTTGCTGGTTGCGGAAATTGCCCCGACGGGGATTTTGATTGTTTTGAGTGCAACAGAAAAGATTGCAATACAAAAGATAATTTAAAGAAAGCATTCAGATGTTATGAGAGTAATGAGAAAATTACGTCTACGAAAGCAAGGGAATGCGCCAGAAAAAAATGCTATTTTGCTTTAAATATTAAAGGTTAATTTTTACAACCAATTAAAATATTTTGTGCAGTATACACTGCGGTGCAAAAGTTTATCTACACCTACCGAAAATTTTTTAGAACGATATATCTCTGGGAAATTTCGTTTTCATAAAATGATTTTTTTCACAATTATTAAGCGGAAAGTGCTCTTTTTAATAAGCCCTTGTGTTAAAAATAAGCACGAGAACTTTTTATGATATGCTCCTTTTTCCCAAACTAATTCGTTTTTTGTCGGTGCAAAAGTTTATCTACACTTTGCAAAAATTGGATTTTTAGAAAAATAAATGGCAGAAAAAATACCAAAAAAATTCTGAGGATATTTCCATTGATACTGATTAAAAATAAAAAAGAACGAAGTCCGTAACAGTTTTCATCATCGAGATCTCAAATCACAAAAATCAACGGGAAAACGGGGTACAGTACTTTAAAAATTATTTTAACCCCCGAGGGCTTATATAAAAATTTTCTTTTGAGCTCATTTGAAAGCCCATAAAATTTACTATAAGATAGCCCAGGCTCAATTTTTTCGATAAAAAAATTCATGGAGATAAGGGTCGAGGAATTTAATAATTTATCATTTTTAGTCTAAACCTCCCAAAATACCCCACATTTTTACTCATTTTTAATTTCTCAGTAAGTAACCCACACGTAAATACTATACAGATTTTTTTACAAATACGAGACCAATGGTATTTTGTAGCAAATTTTATGGGCTTTCTAATAAGCCCAAAAAGAATTTTTGATACAGGCCCTAGGGAGCTAAAATATTTTTTGAAGTACTGTAACACCATTTCCCTTTGATTTTCGAGATTTGAGATCTCGATGAAAAAATTAGCTAGAAATATTGTTCTTTCTGATTTTATATTCAACATCAATCGAAATGTCCACAGAAATTTTTTTGTGTTTTTATTGCCATCTATTCATCTAAAAATTTAATTTTTGCAAAGTGTAGATAAACTTTTGCACCGAAAAAAATTGAAGCAGTTTCGGAAAGATAAGGGTCGAGGAACTATGGCTTTTTTTAAAACTATGGCTTATTAGAAAGAGCACTCTTTACTTAATAATAATAATAATAATCCATGTCATCTAAACAAAATCTTCACGAGATATACTATTTTAAATAAATTTTCAGTCAGTGTAGATAAACTTTTGCACCGCAGTGTAATCCAGGAAACGCTCCAAAATTTATGCAATACTGAAAACTTTCATATATCACACGAACATCTCGCTAAGCAGTTAAACGTTACAATATCTAGGTGCGAGCGAGATACTGAGTAACCATAGTTCCATTAAAATGGTTACTCAGAATATAACTAAAATATAACTCAAAAATAATTTTATAATTAAAGAAGCCGATTCTGAAATGATACTTAAACAATATACAAAACAAGGCTGTGGAAATTGCCCTCATGTAGAAGGACAATGCAGGACTTGCACTGAAAATTTATGCAATTCTGAAAGCTTTTATAGGAAAATTTTTTATGCATGCCGTTCTTTTGATAATAAATATGTCATATGCCCTCCTAATACACAAAAATGTTACTATGGAGTAAAGGTCGAAAAATTCTTTGATTTGGAAAAAAATTATTTATTTTTAAGCCAGGAGGGGGTGAAGCTGGATGCGGAAACTGCCCTTCTAGTGATTTAAATTGTTTTGACTGCAGCTCATCAAATTGTAATACTCGAGCTAATTTGAATAAAGCATTTCGATGTTTTACGAGTAATAATGGGAAATTTACATCTACGAATGCAAGAGAATGTCACAAGAGAAAATGCTATTTAGCTTTTAATATTAAAGGTATATCTAGTAAATTATATTTTAAACTTGTATATATAAACTTGAAATTTTTTAAATCCAAGAGGGAGAATTGGAAAACGTATATGAGAAACATACAGAACAAGGATGTGGAGACTGTCCTCGTGGTAAAAATCATTGCAAGACATGCTCCAATAGTTTATGCAACACGAAACATTTTGCCGAAACAAATATTTTTATGTGTTATATTCTTGGTAATTTGCGTGGGCTATGCCCTTCTGGCTCAGGCGAATGTCATTACGGTGGATGGGTACGGAATTATTTTTATATACTATGATTTTTATACTAAAAATATAGTTCGCAATTTTGTATCATAAAGTAATACTTACAGTAATACGGATGACATATGATATCTAAAAATTTATAGTATACTGAATCATATTCTTGATACCTTTATTTACGGTGTGGGGACGTATTAGGACGGACATATCGGGATTGGGGTGACAAAAATAATTTTTTGCGTGTTTACTTTTGTTCTGAAATATAAAAACTCTATTCTTCGATGGACAATATACTATCCAAGACCCAGTGGCCGTAGGTCCCGAAATCAGTAGGGTAACTGTTCGTGCATTGAAATATCCTGAAATGTCCCTCCCGATATCTCCGGGTGCCATACTTACCTTACACTACCTTTGGTCAAGTATTGTGTGATATACATATCATAACTCTAGGTGAGTATTCCGACAAAAAATATTAGAATAAAATGGACTGATTGAATTACACGAATATTACATAAACGCTTAGTATAGGTTCTAATTCCTTAAGCCGTTTGCATGCTCCTTTTAAGTCTCCTTATAAGAAAAGTAGAGAGAGGAAAAAGAGTCAGGGCTTCGGGATGTAAACTACACAAGTACCCAAGATTACTATATTATCAGACTCAATATAATGTTGGATGTGGAAAATGTCCTGAGGGCTTTTTATATACGTGTTTTACGTGTAAAACACGATTTTGCAATACACATCATGATCTGCTTAATGCATTTAAATGTGGAGAAAGTATTAACGGAAAATATACTGATCATAAAGTCAGAGACTGCTACGCAAATAAATGCTTTATTTCTGTTGATCTTCTTAAAGGTATTTTTGTTATACTTGACTTTTCGAGTCCAATCGAACTTTATGAGTCCAATAAAAAATTATATATCCGAACATGTTTTATTATTCTAAATAAAAATTTTGGGCTACTTCAGTTTATGAGTCCAATCAGATTTTTGTGAGCTATTAGAGTAGGCCGGCAGATCAAGGCTGAAAATTGAAAAATCAATGGCATGTTATGCGTTTGGACAGTGCATAAGTTAGATGTAGAGCAAGAAATATTTCAAAATATTTAGGAAAATAGGATTATTTATTGGGTAAAAAATATTCCATTTCAACTATTTAAAGGTAAAACAGAAGAAGTAGCGTTAGAAAAATATACAAAGCAAGGATGTGGAGAGTGCCCCAAGGGTGCAGGACAATGCAGGACATGCACAAAAAATCAATGTAACACTAAAGATTTCTATCAAGAAATGAGATATTGTTGGAAAAATGATAATGAAGTTGTAGAATGCAGTAAAACAGCAAATAAGAAATGCTATTATGCTTATTCCTATGATAAAAAAGGTGGGGGAAAATAAATTAGTGTGAAATGATTTATCCAAAATTATTTCTTATCTATCACCGGATAATCTTCCCTACATTAATCAAAAAAATTTGGAAAAAGAATCCCTTTGTAATGCCTAAAAGCCAGATTTCTTTTTAATAGCGGGAACACAAAATTTAGCCTTTCGTCTTTTGTCGACATTTTAAATTGACTTTGGGTATACACTCTTTCAAAATATCTGTAAAAAATAAATCACATCCAGTGTCTACAAAAAATTTTATCCAAAAAATTCATATGCGTTTCATAATTATAGAGCCACTTTGAAATTTCGAGTTTCTAACATTAAGAAAAATCTACAAAAATTTGAGCTGACATATTTATCGATTTTAAGAAAAAATAAAAAAAGAATTAGACCCATATTTAGTGTCGAGATCCAGATACCTCGAAAATCACCGTAAATCGGGGGTAAGGCTATTTAAAAAATATTTTCGACCGAAAAATATTTTTTAATAAATATTTTTTTGGTTTGTTTTAAATTTCCATTTTGGGCTCATTCGACAGCCCTTGAAATTTGCTACAAGATAGCATAAGTATTATTTTCTAAAAAAGATAGATTTGTATTGTTGTTGAAAAGATAGATATGTATTGTTTATTTAAACATTATGGCAAAATTAAAAAAAATTCAATCGATTTTCATCGAGTTATTACAAAAAATTTAGTGGCTCTATAATTTTGAAACAGAGTGTAGTATAGTATACCGAAGCAAAATTCGGATACAAAACTTATTCCATTCGATTCGGCTCGATACGCTCTTCTAATTATAATTAAAAATAGTTTATCGAGGCTGTGGCGATACAAGACCTGCTAACTTGAAAGATATACCGTTAGTTATCTGTGATAAACAAGTATGCAATACAAAAGAATTTTTTGACAATTCATTAATTTGTTTGCTTAAAAGAAAAGAAGAAACGAAAAATACTAAAGGAATAAATAAATGTGATCAGGAATGTTTTGTTTATAGACATGGAGATGGGAAATGTATGGGAAATATGTTTGATAATAATTAAATAAAATAATTTTAGTAGAACAAGGTTGTGGTAAATGTCCATCCAACACAGCCAAAGTTTGCAAAACTTGTAAAACTAAATATTGTAATGAAGAAAAGTTAGTCCCTGAATTATGTTGGGAAAATAATGGCAAAACTTGCACAAAAGAATCTGGAGCAAACTGTTTCACTGAGAGAATGCAAAATAATAAAAGTTTGAAATAGTCTTTACAATATTTTCGGAACCCAAAATTCAGGGGTTGTTGTGATCAATAGCCGTCATGCCGTAACGTCCGACAGCTTTAGGACCTATCTTCCAGGACCGCGGGAATTCCTTTAAAATAAGCTCTAATGCTTAATTTTTTATCGACAAAAAAAAATTTTTATTAGTAGGCTTTCATAGAGTAGTTAGGCTTTCATAGAGTACTCCTCAGTCAATAGATCCTTCCAATACATACGTGCCTTTAATTTGGAGCAAATAAAATTAGTTTAGAATTTACAACATTAAATAATAATTACTATATATTAAGTAAACAAGGGTTGTGGTAATTGTGGTTCTACATCATGCAAAAACTGTAAAGGAAACTTGTGCAATGCTGGTGATAATACTCATTATTATTGTTTGGATAATGATGGAAAAAGTTTAAAAGAATGCCCAAAATCACAATGTTTTGTTTCTAAAGGTCTTAAAAAATATGGTTATTTGACCATTACCCATATACTTGTTCTAGCTTAACTTAAATTCATTAGAACACATCCAATAAATACCCTCAATTCCAGATTCAAAAGCTGGATGTGGAACTTGTGATGAAAAGAAAATTGAAAAGTCATGCGTTGATTGTAAAGATTTAAAATGTAACTCGAAAGAATTGTTGGCTAAAACAATTTTTTGTTATGAAAAAGTGAAAAATGGAAAGACTAATGAAGGGAAAAGGCCGTGTTTGGCGAAGAAATGTTTTATATCATATGACACTAAAATTGGTAATTTTATAGGGGGAAAGGATTATTGAGGGAATTACAAGGATTACATATATACCAGAGGTGTGCCAATTTTGCCTTTCGCGGTCTTATTTCGAAAACTCCGCTCCGAACAATCCTAACCATAATAAAAATTTCGGTTCACGATTCGGAGATCTAAATTTTCGATTCGGATATTGGATATTCAGGGAGTTCCCATGATCCGCCAACACTATCACAATCAACGAAAAGAGATTCTAGAGATCTAAAAAATAGAACATCAAGATAAAAATTTCCTTACAGCGTCCCATCAAATCGCAGATATCCGTTCCAATCTTTTGATATTTAGCTTAATCCTGCATATCCTTTGATATCTCTGATTAGAAAATCTCAGGAGATTTCTCTCATAGCGGAAAGACTAAAAAAGTCTTTCTGCTTAATTGAATGTTTATTGTTTTTTTTATTTGTCTTGTTTAAAAAATTATTTAGTCGAACAAGGATGTGGAGATTCACCTAAAGAAGTTAAGGATATTCAGTATGCTGTTTGTGATAAACCATTGTGCAACACAAAAGAATTGTTTGACAAAACATTGTTTTGTTTCATTAAGGATAGCCAGAAGGAGAAATATAAGAAGGCAATAAAACAATGTGATAAAGAATGTTTTGTTTCTAGAGATGCGAATGGACATTGTATATAATATATAAAAGTTTATTAATGATATCATTTAAGTGTGGAAAGGCTGTGACAGTTGCAAGGTGAAAGATGTTAAGGATTGTTATGCCTGCAAAACTGATTATTGCAACGAGGAAAAACGTGTTTATAAACAGTGTCTTGATGGAATATACGATTATTCTTATCACGGAACCAAGCCTAAGACTTGTAAAAATAAATACGAAGATTATTGTTATTCGGAGATTATACAAAACAATAAAGGTATTTTAAATATAAGACGGAAATTTCATTAATTTTACAGTAAAAAAGGGATGTGGTAAGTGCACTAATACAACTTGCGTTACGTGCAACAACGGACATCGTTGTAATGATAAGCTTGATTTTCGCACATTTTGTATGATTAAAAATGGGAATAAAAAATGCAAGGAAGATTGGTGTTACATTGCTCCTTTGGATGAGAGAGAAAAAGGTAAAATTCAAAATATATTGGAAGCTCCGTCCAAGGGGTAGTCAGAGATACGCATATGTTGATTGAGAATGCCGAACCGTAGCTTAGATAAATATATTTTCAGTATTCGATTCCGGTTGCGGAAAATGTGATGTCTCACATCGTGAAAAGAAGTGTGTAGACTGTAATACTGGCCCATTGTGTAACACTCAGGAATTTATCAACAAATCAAAGTTTTGTTTATGGAAGACTGAAAATATGGCTAAACCTATTGGAATGAAGAGAGTTTGTAGTGCCTCATGTATTGTATTGAGAGACAAAAATGGAAAAGGTTCGAGGATGAAAATAGGGGAAAGGACAGTTACGGGTCTTGTCTTAATCCTTTCATATCCCTTTGTATCTCACTTAATCCCGCGATATCACTTTAATCCTATAAATAGCTTTTGATCACATTCATTCTCTCTAATCCTTCGGTTGTTTCTGAATCGAGGTATATAAAAGGGCGACTGAACAGAGTTGACTGAATCGTGAGAGATCAAATGAACTGCTCCGAGACATTAGAAAAATAAAAATTAAATAAAAGAATGTCCAAAAATCAAGAAAGAATATCTTTTTTGACCAAGCTGATCCGCAAATGTCTGTCCTTTAATCTTTATCTACTCATATTTTCAACAAAATTTTCTAGTTAAACAAGACTGTGGCAAATGTCTAGCTAATAACATAAACACAGACTGTGTAGAATGTAACACAAAATATTGCAATAAAGAAAGTCTTGTTCCAAAACAATGTTTGGGTAATAATGGGACTATATGTAAAACATCGTTTGAAACTCCTTGTTTTGTGGAGAGAATGAAGAATAACACAGGCATTGACTAAATAAATTTGAAAATTTTTCAAAAAATATTTTTAAAGAAAACAGAGGATGTGGAAAGTGTAATTCTACATCGTGTAGAGAATGTCAAGATAATCGTTGTAATAATTGGACTGATACTTATTATTGTAAAAGTGTAGAGGGAATTAATGGAATGAAAGAATGCCGTAAAAATGAGTGCTACATTTTGAAATTCAATAATAACGGTAGAGTTTAATAAAGTTTAAATTTTGTTAGTTTGGGGCAGGAAATTTTATGTCGAGCCTTAATACACTGCTCCACATAACTATAACCTCACCCTAAATTTTCAAATTTCTTAACTTCTACTGAATCAATCGGGCTGATTTTTATTTTATATTAATTAAATCAGGTATAAATTCATATAAACCCGAGAACCCCCCCCCCCTAACTAATTGACATCCAAAGTCAGACTCGTGACTTTAGATGAGAGAGTCAAGACTTATGAGTCGAGACACAAGTCTAATCTCTCAGATTTACCGAGGATAATTAAGACCCAAAAAAGCTACCTCTCCGAGTCCCCTAAATAATAGAGAGGCTTTGCAGATGATATGAGTGTCAAAATAGGGCTAGGATAATGGCCTTAAAAGTCTAATAGTTTTAGTTTATATAGATGAGATAAAGGGTTGTAAGGGGCAAAATAATGTCATCGTCAGAGCTCCCTTTTTGAATCCTAAACCAAATACAAGCATAAAGTTGGATTAAAATCCTTTCAATTTTCAGTCACCAAAGTAGATGAGTATCATTACAACTGTGGAAAATGTCCAATACACTCCTCGGTCTTTAACGATACGTCCCTCAATAAAAAATTACGGAAAGTTATGCCTTTGGAAATGCTATATAAAATTCCCTGTGTGGATTGCAATAATAGTCCTTTATGTAATACTGACAAGTTTTTTGAAAAACAAGTGTTTTGTTTGGAGAAGTTGGCAAATGAAACAAAAATAATTAAAGGAGCAAAAGTTTGCAGAGATAAATGTTTTGTGTTTAGAAATTTTACAACTGGGAACGGTAGGGAATTA